TTTTTAAGGGAGCTCTGGTGGCATAGTGCCTAAGGTATTTGCTAACCAGAAGGCTGGCAGTTCAAACCCACCAGCTATTCCTCGGAAGGAAGTTTGGGCAATCAACTTCCCTAGTGATACGGCCTTGGAAACTCAAGGAAGGGTCACTATGAGTCAGATCCGACTGGACAGCAGTGATGTATTTTGAAAGGTGACAGTGCAACAATGTATAAGAGATGAGTTCAAGGCAGGATTCAGATTGTTACAGCATGTAAGGTACCCAGTTTCCACCCAGTTCAGAGACCTGCCTGGCTCAGACCCTCTGATAGAGCAGTTTGAGCTAGAAGGGGCAGAGATCCTGGCAAGTTGCCATGTAAACTCTGCATGTAATACCTGCAGATTGAATGTTCAATAAGAAAGACACAATAAAACCAACTCCACTTCCCCTTGTCCCATCTCCAGTGAGCACCCAAAGGTGATAAACTATGGTATCTAAAATTTAAATATGCAAGTTTAAATTGAAGTGGAAGAATATTAAAACAAGTCCACAAGAGCCAAAATACAATCTTGAGTATATCCCACCTGAATTTGATCTGAAGAATATATTTGACATATTGAACATCAATGAGTGAAGACCAGACCAGTTGTGGGATGACATCAAAGACATCATACACAAAATAAGCAAAAGGTCATTTAAGTGATAGAAAAGAAAGAAAAGACCAAAATGGATGTCAGAGGAAACTCTGAAACTTGCTCTTGAATGGAGAGTAGCTGAAGCAAATGGAAGAAATGATGATGTAAAAGAGCTGAACAGAAGATTTCAAAGGGTAAATCGAGAAGACAAAGTATTATAATAAAATGTGCAAAGACCTGGGGTTAGAAAATCAAAAGGTAAGAACACACTCATCATTTCTCAAGCTGAGAGAATTGAAGAAAAAATTCAAGCCTTGAGTTGCAATATTGAAGGATTCTATGGGCAAAATATTGAATGATGCAGGAAACATCAAAAGAAGATGGAAGGAATACACAGAGTCACTGTACCAAAAAGAATAGACTGACATCAACCATTTCAGGAGGTAGCACGTGATCAAGATCCAATCACACTGTAGGAAGAAGTTCAAGCTGCACTGAAGGAAATGGTGAAAAACAAGGCTTCAGGAATTAACAGAATACCCATTGAGGTGTTTCAACAAATTGATGTACCGCTGGAGATGCTCACTCGTTTACGCCAAGCAATTGTGAACACAGATACCTGACCAACCAACTGGAAGAGATCCATATTTGTGCCCATTCCAAAGAAA